TTTGCGGTAGTAAACAGGAAGTGAAACTTGCTAACTAGCAGAGGCTAATCATCTCGGGACAATGGAGCGATTGTTTCGTGAATGCCTTGCTATTGGGCAGTTTGTAATTATTTTATTTATTCAGCTAGTACAGGCTATGTTTAACGCTGCCAGGAGACGTAGGGAAATAAACGCCATGTTTTCGCGCGTTTATGATAACATCCAGGACGAGGCAGGAAAGCGGAAACAGCTTAACGTCACGTGAGGTAAATATGCGCTACGTCAGAATTTATTCGGCAAACATGTTTCCATCTCCCGTTTTGCACATTAACTACTTTGCAAATCATCCAAAAACCACCTCAAGCGAGCGTAAAATCTTTTTAGCGAATTGAGGATTTTTTTATTTCGAATTTTGCCGTTTCCATCCAACTTTTTTTCCACATGTTTAACGCGACACTTCTAAATGAGCATCAAAAAGCCTTGATGGAAACATGGTTAGTATGTCTCTGAATACCTCAGAATTCATTCAGCTGTTTCTGTCCTGTGTCATATCATCAATAAACACTAGTGACCCAGTGCCACTGGCAGCCATGCATGCCCAAGCCATCACACTGCTCTGCTGTGTTTTACACATGATGTGGTGTTTTGGATCATGAGCTGTACCACGCCTTCACCAGACTTTTCTCTTTCCATCATTCTCGTAGAGGTTGATCTTGGTTTCATCTGTCCAAAGAATGTTCTTCCAGAACTCTGCTGCTTTTTTACATATTTTTAACAAAGTCCAGTCTAGCCTTTTTATTCTTGAGTCTTATGAGTGTTTTGCACCATGCAGTGAACCCTCTGTATTTACTTTCATGCAGTCTTGTCTTTATGGTAGATTTGGATATTGATACTTCTACCTCCTGGAGAGTGTTGCTCACTTGGTTGGTTGTTGTGAAGGGGTTTCTCTTCACCATGGAGATTATTCTGCCATCATCCACCACTGTTGTCTTCCGTGGGCACCCAGGTCTTTTTGAATTGATGAGTTCACCAGTGCTTTCTTTCTTTCTTTCTCAGGATGGCCCAAACTGTAGATTTTGACACTCCTAATATTGTAGCAATTTCTCTGAAGATTTTTTTTCTGTTTTCAAAGCTTAAAGATGGCTAGTTTCACCTTCATGGAGAGCTCCTTTGACTGCATGTTTACTTTACAGCAAAATCCTCCAAATGCAAGCAGACCTTACATCTGTGTGATTGAGAGGGACCTGCCCATGAAATAGTCTTTGAGTCGATTCTCCCCCACCTCTTAAAGAGTGAGGGTTTGCCCTTAATGTAAACCCATCATTTGTTTGTTGTTGTTTATTGAGACTATATATATATATATATATATGCGTGGTAACGGCTCACCAAAGAGAATCTCTACCTTAGTCTATAAATTAAAGGGGAACTGACAGATTTATGATCATATATTATTATTATTTATTCTGACCACATCATATTGAATTTTTGCAAAAAAAATATAATTAATTAATTAATTTAAAAAAGATTTTTACACCAAAATAATTTAGTTTTTTTTTTAAAGTACTAGGTTTTGGCCTAGTGACGCCACCGCATTTTAGGCCATAAAACATCACTACATATGAAATAAATTTTAAACACATCTGCTGCTGTCCATTTAAATCAAGGATCAAAGTTAGACATCCTAAATAAAGCACGAAAAGAAAACCCCCTCAGAGACCTTACAGAACAACCTGTGTGGTCACTTTTCTAGTTTTACCTCAGAAGTCTGCAGATGCTGCTCCTGTAACTGAGTCTCTGGCTTGCTGCGGCCACACTGGGAGGGATTGGTGGTCGAGATGGGAAGTAGAACAGGACGGCGGTAAAAAGCATCGCAATTGCACCCAGTTCTGAAGATAAAAAGAGGTGTTTTTTTTCTTCTTTACAGATACAGTAAAAACACTCAGGCCAATATGACATTTTAAAAAGGTCAACACGACTCCTTAAAGGCTTCTGAAAATAGCTGTGAAATTAATATAATGGCCCACTAGACAAGACAGTAGAGTAAAAGTATCTGACAAAATCATACAATCTGGCAAACCATTTGAAACTTCACTTGCTTCTTCAAACTTAAAATATAAAAAAGGAGCCGACTGCAGAAATAGTTGACTGTGGTTTGTGTATAAGCCATTGTTTTTCTTTTAATGATTTTTTAAACTTCCGATTTACAAAACGTGTCTGCTCTGCCCTTCAAAAATTAATAGTATTACCTTAGATTAAACAAAGCCGCTGCCTCAATCTATTACAGCATGCTTGTTTCTCTTTTCATAGCGCTTTTAATTTTCTGAATCAGTTAAGCATAACAGTCTCAGCAAGCCATTTTTCAGAGGCGCGGTTACAAGGATTACAGCTGAGGCTTTTGGCGTTTGTGCAAAACTCTTGAATCCCTGTTGCCTGATTGTATTTCTGTCCCTGGACAGGCCTGACACGGTGTTGAAATGATGCGCTATTGATCCTCCGTGCTTTCTGTTCGTACCTGCATACAGAACGAGCTGTATTCTGCTTTGAATGGARCTGTTGGAAAGCCCCGCTGCTGCCAGGGAGGCATTGGGAGCTGGAACAATAAGTGGTCCCACTAGAAATGAAGCAGCACCTCCCAAGTAGGAGAAGAGCGAGGCCACGGCCGTTGCTGTTGCTCTCTGATCTGGGGCAAACCATGTAGTGGAGAGGAAGGGGCCGGCGCTCATTATGGTCGGCCCGGCCAAACCATTTAGAAACTGGCCTCCGTGTATCATCCTGTGACAGAAAAGGAAAGAAAGTGGTTTCAAATCTACTGCATAAATAACAAATGAGTTTGTTCCTCTTTAAACTGATTGAAGTCCAGGTTTCTCCATGTTGATGGCCTTCATGCTGTTAAAATACCATTAATAAACAATTACAGGGTATATACAGAAATTCTGAAGTTAAATTTAATATCTTTTAATACCTTTTTAATACCATCACATTGTTTTTTAATACCAGCATGAATTCAACACTGCAAAAACTGTCCACCTAACCAAGTTTTAAAACCTGATATCAGCCAAAAAGTCTTTTTGATCTTGTTTTCAGACTGATTTACTAAACAAGAACTGATTGTGTAAGAATAATCATCTTGTTTTCAGAATGTGTAAGATTATTTGTCTTGTTAGTCTGAAAATTTGACTCACATTAAGTCAAAATTTCTGCCTGTGGGAGTAAGAACATTTTACTTGGTAAGATTCTTGAAATACTTGATTTGACTCATTTTTTTCTTATTTCAGAGCAGAACTTACCTTCCACAGCAATTATTTTTAGTTAGCATATAGCTAAAATCTAACCATGGTTATATAATAGCAGCAGCATTCTGGCGCGATAAGCTGTATGTTTTATATTCAATTAATGTATGATCTGATTAGTCGACTAATCGAATAAATAATCTGTGATTAATCGATTGTAAAAATAATCGTTTGTGGCAGCCCTAGCTGCGTCTCAGATTGGGCCAGACAAATGTTTGTTAAACCTGTTTTCCACGCAACGCGATTTGAAAAGTRCGCTGGTTGTTTAAAAATTAATACCTCGTCAGATGGCATTTATTACCTTTTAATACTTTTTATTGGCTTTAATTTTTGCTTATTTGATTTACTACCTTTTAATACTTTTTACAACCCCGCGAAGACCCTGTATTAAAGTTAAAGGTAAACAAATGAATCCATTCAGCATCGAGTGTCAGATATAAAACGGACAGCTGAGGGTAAAAAAATAAAAAATAAGTAAGATAAATTATATCACAGGATTTGTGAAACAACAAGAAACAAGGAAGTCTCAGATTTGTACCTTCAGACTCAGCTGTGGGAGGCAGATGTACTCTGAAATGTCCCCTGATGAAAACAGAACCCCTTCAACACCCTGAGACTGAGACAGCCAGCCGCAGCAGACGGCTCACGGCTGATTGATTGTCTGTAGGCTCAGTAAAGACACCATTCACTCAGAGAGGTTGAGGCGATTCGATGGGGGGGAAAGGGGGCAGGAAAGAATACGGAATAAATGAAAAATGGTAGACAAAGGGGGAAACGTTACGCTAAATCTGAGCTTTAGGTATTTAAAAGTATTCAGTCCATTTTCTAACAGAACGCAAACTTGATAGAAAGTGAAGACTTGTTTACGTAATCTGAAAAACTTATTTTTAGAGTCTGACTAGGTATCCACTGCAAAAATGTCCATCTACAAAGTTTTAAAGTCTTATATCAGCCAAAAAGTCTTTTTGATCTTGTTTTCAGACTGATTTACTAAACAAGAACTGAT